TATTTATTTATTTATTATGTATACAATATTCTGTCTGTGTGTATGCCTGAAAGCCAGAAGAGGGCACCAGACCTCATTACAGATGGTTGTGAGCCACCATGTGGTTGCTGGGAATTGAACTCAGGACTTTTGGAAGAGCAGATGATGCTCTTAACCTCTGAGCCATTTAAATGAATACAGTTTTTGTGTGGTTATTTTGGGTGTAAGCTATCCGGGCGGGACGGAACAAAGGGCCCAGCTGGGACGACAAGCAGCCAGTTCCTCCTACTACATGTCACATTTATAGCTATACCACAACTTTCATCCTTGCCATTAAAATTAACTAATTTTTAAGCCTGATGTTGTAAGTCAAGCCAGCCAATTAAATTAAAAGCCAATTTTGAACATGATTAGCAAACTGACCATAATACAGCAGTTCAGAGCCAAGTATCTGAAAGCCTATTATGAGTGGAGCTAAAGCAATGTTGTAAGTTAAATGCTTCCTTAAAGGTCATATTTCATCTAATCACAAGATAAATTTAGACTATTAACAAGGTTTTGCATAAATTATGTAGTGTACTCACAGCTACTTTGTAATGGAAACATGTCCATCATTCCAGTGTTCCAGATTCCAGCAGAACAAATTCACAGAAGACAGCATGTGAGGAATTCCACAAATCGTAGTGGCACATTCAGTTCAAGCAGGAGTAGCAGATCCATTGGAACACAGCAAAATATAGAAAAAAAAGGTAAAATTACTTACATGTAACTCAATGATTTAAAAGTAAATTATAATAAAAGAGATTAAAATAAATTGAAAACATTCTTTCCTATGCATGCCAAAATAATGTTTTCATATTTTTAGTAGTTTTTACATTTCCCTTAGAAATATAAAAAGACCTCCTATCTTTTAATTAAGGCCAATTACTATGCTGTGTCTTAGAGGAAATACCGCAAAATAAGTAGACATATGTTTTGGAAAGGTGTACTATGAATTTCATACAACTTTTGTGTTGTCGGTCAACAACCCAGCTTAACATTTTAGTTAAAATCTTTTCATACAATGATGCATTTCAAATTCTGTAAACTCAGACTTAAAAGACATGTAGACCGTAGGAAAAAAATAATATGCCATACCATACGAGGAAATTAGATAAACGGTAGGCTGTGAAAACTGCAAGAGTACAGAGAAGAAAACACAAAAGTAGGATAAACTCCCTGTGAAAGATACAAGTTTATGCCTGTGCAACGTACTTCAAACAACTTTAGGCAGTTAAGGTATTCGTAATTTAATAAGTGAAAGAAAAAATTCAAAAACAGTCTCTCTCTCTCTCTCTCTCTCTCTCTCTCTCTCTCTCTCTCTCTCACACACACACACACACACACACACACACACTGCATGTGCAGAATTGAAAAATCTCCACAACTATCCCTTTCTTTTGCCATTTCAAGAAACCCACCAGATGAAAAAGCATAAAACACCTAAGAGTATGTACCTGTTTCTTATTGTCTTTTCCTCAAGTCTTTGGTTCATAAACAGTACTGTTAGGGTTGAATTAACAAAAGGCAGGAAGCATTCTAGTTAACAGAAAGGACCATAAACTAGAAATAAATCTGGCACTTTCAGGAACAAAAAAAGAAAATATGTGATCTATAACACAGGAAAGAGACAAAAGGACAGGCAATGAGGTCAGAGAGGCAGGCAGGCAGGGGCCAAATCATGTGGGATTCAAAGTAAGAACTTTGAATATTATTTTAGACATGGGGGTTGAACCACTGGAGGGTTTTGCACAAGTGACCTGATTAGCATTTTAAAGATAGCTTTCACTGTTAAGTGAAGTGGCTTAAGAACCAAGAAAACTACTGCAGTAATACCACAAAGAGTAAATTAAATTGAGCTACTAAGAAGCAGTAAGAGATTTTAAGGATTAGAAATATATTTTTGAAGGCTGAGTTGGTGGAATATTGCTAATGAATTGGACATTAGTGAAAGGAAAAGAAACCAAGGATAACTACTGGTTTTGCCTTGAACGACTCAATGATTGGTGGCAATTATGAAAATAGTACAATGGAAGAGGAAGACTGAGTAGTGAGATACAAAATCAACAATAGCTTTAAGCATGTTAAGTGTGAACTGTCTACTATATTCAAGACAGGTCCAATACACAATCTTAAATGTGACTAAGGAAATTCCAGGTTTGGCTGGTGCTGAAAATAAGTCATCTGCACATGTACACTGGAAAGTGATTGGATTCCCCAAAAGAAAGTATGAATAATAAAGAGAAGAGAATCCTGCGGGGCAGTGGTGGTGCATGCCTTTAATTCCAGCACTTGAGAAGCAGAGGGCAGGTGGGTCTCAGTGAGTTCAAGGTCAGTCTGGTCTGCAAAGGGGATCCAGGGCCAAGAACTGGAGCACAGTAACAATTTGGGCTGACAATTAAGGCAGAGAAACATGGGAAGAAAGATCTGTCAGGAAGATGGGACGAAAACTAAGAAGAATGCAAGGAAGGGCGGCTTTTTAACTGTGTTGCACCCAATGAAAAATTATGTCCATAAAATTGGAAATAATTTTACTGCTACCTTTTAACAAGGCCAGTCTTAGTAACACAGTGAGAAAGTGATTAAGCTGATTTAAAGTGTATACCGTTTTATCCATATGACTAGCTTTATATTTAAATTATTTAGAACCTTTAACTTACTAGTTCCTGTGTGACTAGTTTCTGAGAGACATTTTCTCTACAATCCTAACAAAATACGAATTCACAACTGGTAGCCTCCAAAAAAGTGAATGATCACGCTTTCAAAACAAATTTCTTCAGAAGAAATTTTGTCCAAAGATAAATGACAAAGTAGTTTGGCTACCTGCTGCCAAAAAAAATTTCTCACAGAATATGCATGTAAACATCCCAGAAAATACAAAAGCTAACGTCTGGAGCACCTGGCTCCGCACAGAAAACCTGGCACCAAATACAGTTTAAAGGCTATACTAACAGTATAACACTATTTGCTAACTAATGGAGATAACTTTTTATCTCATAAGACTCTTTCCTTACCCTGAACTTTAAAAACAATTTCTAGTTTTTAACTCTAAAAGTCTTTATAATCACTGTGCCAGAATAAAATACAACCTCTGGTCAAGTAAATGGTGGGTGGATGGGCAGGTGTGGGTGTTGGTGTGTATGCACGCGTGATCAATGAAATTATGAAATTTATAATCATGAAAATATAAATAAATACATGATTTTTCACCTAGGCTTCCACCAAAATACTATGGGGTCATGAAGGTACTCACTGATCTCAAGCCAGTTATATAAAAAGCAACACAGATCTCTTATAACAGCTTGTATTTTCAAAATATTTTAGTTCATATACACAATTTCTACATCAAATTTATTAAGGGGAAAATGAACAATTCTGTTTATTGATGGAAATAAAATACAACATTGCATATGTCTGTGTTGGATTTATTTAACTCTATTTCTAGGAATCAAAAAATACTTGAAGAACAAAACAGACAGGACAGAGACAGGCAAGATCTCTGTGAGTTCAAGGCCAGCCTTATCAGGGCAGCCAGGACTATTACACAGAGGAATCCTGTCTCAGGAAGAAAAAGAAAAAGAAAAGAAAGAAAGAATTTCAGTTAAAAAAACAAATCAAAACTAAAATGTTTAAAAACAACAATGATGTATAACCCAAAGGATCATAACATACCCAGAATTCTACTTCTCCCTTTACAACTGCAGTTAAGAAAAACAATACCACATTACAAAGATGCAAAGGTCACAGCAATATTAGTCTTTCCTACACGGTTTTAAATTCAATCTTTGGATTTTAGCATATATGTGTATTACATATTGTTTTACACAGGCAAAGGTGCACACCTGCAGTCCTAGCCCCTAAGGAAGTGCAGCAGCACAATCAGTTCAGCACTTGGGCTCAAGGCCCAGGCAGCACAGTGAAACCTCCACTGAAAAAAATAATTAACTTTTTAATTAAATTATGAAAACCAATCACAGATTATAAAAAGATATTACCACAGAAATTTATTTGTCTACTACTTAATGCCCCTAGTATTACGTAATATACCTAACTACAACTTTCAGGCACTTGCTTAGTCAAATTCCTGAGGTCATATAGCCAAGTAAAAAATGTTCATCCACCATTTAAATGGTGTAAATATTTTTATATAAATGATTTACAAATACCTATATTAAATGTAAACAACACAAACACTAAAATATTACAGGATCATATGGGCGTATCTCCTACCCTCCCTTAAGTATTTTACGGGTTTGTGTGCTATTTTGCATACCTCAACTACAGTTTTTACTATGATGGGCAATTTTTTAAAATACTATAAATTTATTATGTGCATGTGAGGACAAACATGTGGGTTTCATGTCTCTCATGTTAGTCAATTTTTAGGAGTCAGTTCTTTATTTCTAAAATGCTGACGTGGGTTCTCTCTCATTTCTGATGTTCTGCTGCACATTTTAGGCTCGTGATAGGGTTACAAATATAACTGATATATTGCTGAACTAACATTCATTTTTCTTATTCTTGTGTGTCTGTGTGCACATGTCACATGCACATGCATGCCCACAGACACCAAAAGAGGGCTTCAAATCCCCTGAAGTTAGAAGTTACAGGTGGTTGTAAACTGCCCAGTGTGGAAAGTAAACAGAATCCTCTGGAAAAGCAGTAAAGTGCTCTTAACCACTGAGCATTCTTCCAGCCCCAACTTACATTAAATTTCTATTGAATGGTATACTGGACTATATTACCAAGGAGCTGGCCGATGAATTTCTATAACTAACCTGTAGGAGGAGTGCTAAGTCTTCGATTTCTGATTTCAGGTTTGAGCAAATAGTTGTCATTTAGTAATACAAGTAGTATTAATACTAATACCATTACTAATAAAATTAGTAAATGCAAAAATCATTTGAATTTAATGTATCAACTGGACCTTATGGAAGACAAACGTTCTAGACGGGCAGTGGGCTATATAAAAAGAGAGAACTGTAACTGGCCACTGGTGGCGCACATCTTTAATCCCAGCACTCAGGAGGCAGAGACAGGCAGATCTCTGAGATTGAGACCAGCATGGTTTACAGCAAGTTTCAGCACAGTCAGGACAACACAGAAAAACCCTGCCTAGAAAAACAAAACAAAACATCCAGGAATTAAAAGAATGGGCAAATATTAACATTTTAAGCCATCGTGTAAATGGTATGAAAGGTATGAATCCAAATATAGTGGGAAACTAGCCAAGAACAAATACCAGAATCCCACCATCACCACTTAAAGGTAGAGGATGCGAAAGTCAAAAGAGGGCTTTAGACATCAAAAAAGCAACTTAGTGAGACCCTTATCTTAAAAAGTTCAGAAGGTTGAATAAGATGCAAGTGAACTCTTGCTCAATCCTGAGTAATGCCAAAGAAAACAAACAAAAACAAAACAAAACATATTTTAAAGATCAGCTAGGGGGACAGTAAAGCAATCTGTTCACCTAATTAAGGCTGAAGACCACAAATCTTTGAATGTGAACTTGAAGTAATGTGTTCTTTTTTTTTCCAATAGCAGCCTATAACTTAACCATGATGAGAATACAAGGAAAGTAGAGGAATAAAATTATCAGATGGCCTGGCGGTGGTGGTGGACACCTTTAAACCTTTAATCTCAGCACTGGGAGGCAGAGACAGGAGGATCTCTGAGTTTGAGGCCAGCCTGGTATACAGAGAGAGTTCCAAGATAACTAAGACCACACAGAAAAACACTGTCTCAAAAGACAAAAAGTTAGGGGGCTGGAGAGATACCTCAGAGGTTAAGAGCACTGGCTGCTCTTCCAGAGGTCCTGAGTTCAATTCTCAGCAACCACATGGTGGCTCACATACATCTATAATGAGATCTAACGTCCTCCTCTGGCATGCGGGCATACATGGAGTCAGAATGTTGTATGCATAATAAATAAATCTTTTTTAAAAAAAAAGACAAAAAGTTATAATATCAGTAAAGCAAGAAACAGCTGCTTAGCTGTATATTCACTTTAGCAGATTTATCTTAGCCAGATTCTAATTTGTTAAATACAATCTCCAAGAACCAACTAGACTTAGAAAACCCATCCTTGAATCAAGCAAGCTGATGACTGCTTGAGGGAGTCACTTGGGGGAAGGCTCACTACTAGGTCTCCCCATATGCCAGGGGATAACCCCACACCTGAGCGCACATGGGCAGCAGTAATTAGATTCGGTGAATTAAAAGAAGATAGATGATAGTTAGAAATAAGGAATTATTTAAGAAATGGGAATTATTCAAGAAATGAAACAGGAAATAAGAACAAAAGGTAAGTAAATATATCCACAAAGCAGAAAATGTAAAAAGATACATATAGTTTTAAAATTATTATTCTATTATTTAATAATTCATGCTACATATTTTTATAGCACAAAACCAAATATACCAGACAGTAGCTTTTAAAAGTGTAGTCTACTAAAAGCAGGGAATAATCAGATTATATATAACAAACAACTCTCCCCAATAACATAAGAAATGTACATTGCAAGTTTAAAATACTAATAAACACCCCAACTGGGGGGGGGAGGGGAAGATTTGTTAAACATTCTGTTTTAAAAAATGGTATTTATAATTTAAAATTCTGAAGCTATGAAACGTTAAAAAATAGTTAAGCAATTTTAACACTAGGATACCATATACATATTTAAAATAGATTAGTAATAGCTTAATAGACCAAAATATTACATTAAGTGAACACCTAACCTTCATATAAGCATTTAAAAAATACTTTCACATATACTGCCCCATAACATAGGGAAGATTCTTAGCCATAGTTTTTCATCAGACTCACCTAAAATACTTAAAATACAAATTAATGAACCTCTAACACTGAAAATATTTCCAACATCAAAGCAGGGCATAAAGTCAACTAATTATAGTGATTAAAAATGAACATGAATTAATTTACAATGACTGAAGTTACTATTTCCTCATTTCTAGTTAATTTATTTAACCTAATCATAAAAGTCTATTTGTTAAACTTTTATACTGATTATTAAGAATGGGTTAGAATGTCAATAATTGAAAGTACATTAGTTACTGGAGAATTTTCCTTATAGAAGTCACCTCATATTTCAAAATGGTACAGAATTATAGTTATTTTTTAAATAGCATAAATTTAAAGCATAAAGATAAATTACAATTTTTTCCTCTTACACAAATAATCTGACTTAAAATATTCTCTAAAATTGACAAAAAGGAAAAATTTTTCTTCAGAAGAACTCTAATTATATCTTAAGACAATTTGTATATATAAAAAGTCATTCCCCCCCAAAAAATAAAACTAACGTAAGCCTTAGTTTGAAATGTACCAGTTCAGATTTTAATAAATGTTGTAGAATATTATTTTAAGATGTATTACATTTCTTTATGCTGTGGAACATTTGTTTAATGATGCAAAGCTGTGTTGCATTCTTTGATGTTACACTTGTTTAACTCTGTAAAGCTCTGTTACTTTGCCTAACACCTGATGGTCTAATAAAGAGCCGAATGGCCAGTAACAAGGCAGGAGGAAGGATAGGCAGGGCTGGCAGGCAGAGAATAAACAGGAAGAGAAATCTGCGAGGAGCAAAAGGAAGAAGAAGCAAGAAAAAGAGAGGAAGACCCTAGGGGCCAGCCACACAGCTACACAGTCAGACATAGAGAAAGAAGGAAAGAAAGGCATACAGAAATAAAGCAAGGTAAAAGCCCAAAGACAAAAGACAGACCAGATAATTTAAGAAGGGCTGGCTAGAAACAAGGCCATGCATTTATAAGAAAAAAAACAAGACTCCTTGTGTCTTTTTTTGGACGCTGGGTGGCGGGCCACCCCAAAAGCCAAAAGAGCAAAAAGAGCAAAAAGAAAAACAACAACAAAAGAACACTTTAATACATTCAAAAAACTAGGGGTCTTAACCTAAATCAGAACCTGAAACCTTCAGCAAAAAGGGTAGGCAGACAGGGCAGAGAAGGGAATAGAAGGGTACAAGTGAGTTCAATAGGGAAAATATGGGGCTTTAATTAAGGGAAGAGAAGGGGCATGAATACAAAAAGAAGGGAGAGGGCAAACTAACAGTAAGGCTATCTGGAAAAATAAATCATAGGAATAATATCTATCTACCTAAAATTAAATACAGCACATGTAAGTCTGTGTATACATAGACATACACTATTTAAATGAAATTTCCCCATCTGGACTCATGATTTTCCTCCCAAGAGCCATGGGCTATCTATCTGAAAATAAATTAATTAAAAAATACCCAACACCAAACAAGAGGAGCCCCCATTTGATACCAATCAAGGTTGTCCAAGCAACTCCCAAAATATCGCTATTGCTGCTTCCCTTTGAGGTTAAGTCTCTATTGCTGAAGACACCTTTCACTTCAGACACAGGACCTAGAAAACCTGAGCTGGACCTGACCTGAAAGCATCCTTCATGAGAACTAGGTTTATGGTACCAGATGAAGCCATGTCAGCTTTCAAAGAAGGGAAGTAACCAACAGTCCTATCCAGCTATAAACCCACAACAAGGACCAGCCTGGCCCGATAACCCTAAAAGTGCAGTAATGGCAAGCATAACTTGGTGATAACCAACAACTCTCTAACTGGACTTAAGACCCACTTAACAAGAGGGACCATTACTGACACTGGAAACCAAGCCAGGACTTGATTGTTACCAGTTATTACCCAGGGCCCCAGGGCTAGTGAAGTCATGGATCTTGGAGGAAAACCTAAAATTGCCCTCTTACTAAACCAGAATAGTTCTTAACTACACTTTAAATATTTACCCTTATTCCTGCAGGTGCAGCTCTCACCTTTCATCAAAGAAACTTCTTTGCAACAAAGATTACCAAAAAAAAAAAAAACCACAACCAATCAAAATGAAGAAAACAAGAAATTGTGTGATTTCCCCGCCCAAACCGATACACCTACAAGACAATTCCTGCACCTAAGACTCAGGGATCATTTTGGAGGAGGGAGTAAAAACTTTGTTAAACCGGACTCGCTGAACATAGTGGTCAATGAGGACTACTGAGAAGTCAAGAACAATGGCACTGGGTTTTGATCCTACTGCACGTACTGGCTTTGTGGGAGCCTAGGCAGTTTGGATGCTCACCTTACTAGACCTGGATGGAGGTGGGTGGTCCTTGGACTTCCCACAGGGCAGGGTACCCTGATTGCCCTTTGGGCTGACGAGGGAGGGGGACTTGATTGGGGGAGGGGGAGGGAAATGGGAGGCGGTGGAGGGGAAGAGGCAGAAATCTGGAAGGAAGGAAGGAAGGAAGGAAGGAAGGAAGGAAGGAAGGAAGGAAGGAAGGAAGGAAGGAAGGAAGGAAGGAAGGAAGGAAGGAGGAAGGAGTCAGAGGAACAAGGAGTTTGCTGTGAGACTGCATCTCCTAGAAATGTCAGGCGACACCCATATGTCTGTCTCATCAACATGGCTGCCCTAACAAAACCTGAACAATGACAACATCAGTGGACATGCTAATATGTAATGGGAAAATTCATAGGGCCTCAAGCCTCATAAGGAACTATGGGGCAACTAGGGAATGCTGAGAGCAGGAGAAATGGTCTTAGCGAAGGAAGAGCACCCCAAATGGTTATCCAATAACAAGCCACCAGCCTGCAATCACACACATAGAGATAACATTATAGAGACAGAACAGGATGTATTTATATATTTAGGGGTGTGTGTGCCTGTGTGTATGTTTGTAACAAAGAAAAAGAAGCCATGAATCTGAAGGAAAGTGTGTGGGATGCATGGGGGAAGGGTTAGAGAGAAGAGGGGAAATGGTTTAATTATAATTTCAAAAAATAAAAATCT